GTTTGTAGGGTGGACATTTTGATTCAATAAGCTCAAACAATCTTGGCACCAGAAAGTCAAAGATTACAGTGAAAGTAAAGATTTAAGACTCTTGATAATGATAATGAGTCATAATTTTCTCTAAGTTGGCCAAAAGCTAGGGTCTCTGAGCTATCCATGAAAGAGTGAGTGTGTGTTTTTGTGAAGGGGAGGGGTGGTCTGATATGGCAAAATACTTTGGAATGGTTTGTTAAAGTAAGCATTTAGCATTGCAGATTTACACTGTAGAGACCCCTCCCCAAGAAGGCTGTTGTCATTTGAAGTGTCAACCTTTGTAAACAGAACCAAGCAAACTCCCACCACCAAGGTGAGTCTAGCCTCTGTCCACAGTGTCTGTCTTTCCTGTTTCTAGATCTAAGATCAAACACCCTTTTTGTTTGGCAAGACCCTTATTATTCAGGGTTACAGAGAATCATGTGAACTTGGTATTTTCAATAAAGTTGGATGGGGCTGGGATGTGGTTTAGTAGGTAGAATTTTTACCTGCCATGCACAAAGCCCTGTGTCTATTCCCCAGCAGTACATAAACCAGATCTGGTAGCACATGCCTGTAATCTCAGCACTCAGGAGGAAGAGACAGTAAGATCAGAGCTCCTGGGTCACTTTCTACTATGTAGCAAATTCAAGACCTGCCTGGGATACATGACACCTTGTCTCAATAAACAAAAGTTTTGATATTTTAAATGTGCCACTTACATTAACAAGTCCCTAAGTTGTATATAACAAATATTTACTTAATTAAGCCCCTAAGATTTGATTTTGCAAAATGTAATGCACATGCAAGTATAAATGACAAATACACAAATAGTTCTCAACCATTTTTGTGGCTATCGGGTAATGGGAAGCCAGGAGTTACTTACAGCTTACAGAGAATATTGATTCATTACAACATTGAACTCACCGTTCTGGTGACATGTGTCAGTTAAACCTTGGAAATGAGAAAAAGTTTGTTGATTTGTGATGGTGTTGGAACATTTTGCAAGCATAGATGTATCTGAAGTGGGTCTCATCATTTCTCATAGGCAACCTTCTAGGCATGCATGCATAGTTCACACAGTATCACAGACAATGAAATTCTCTTCTGTCCCTTCATTTGCAGTGTCGCTTCTGCTGTAAATCATGGACATGGGGAATGCCAAAGCAGGGTTCATTCTCCTAGGACTCTTTAATCACACCAGAGCCCATCTGGCTCTCTTCGTGCTGGTTCTGACTGTGGCCCTCAACTCCATGGTAGGCAATGCCCTCCTGCTTCTCCTGATACACCAGTTTCTCCTGAGGCAACTCTCCCTTATGGACATGATGCTGGTCTCCACCATAGTGCCCCAAATGGCAGCTAATTATTTAATGGGCAAGCAGTCCATCTCCACTGCTGGCTGTGGCTTCCAGATCTTTTTCACCGTCACACTGGGAGGTGGAGAGTGCTTCCTCTTAGCTGCCATGTTTGAGACTGACCTGGGGGTCTTGGTTCCTGGGAGCAGCTGATGGAGCCATACAGGCTGCTACCACCCTGAGCTTCCAGTTCTGCCACGGGAATGAAATAGATCACTTCTTTGGCGAGGCCCCTGTGTTGTTGCTCCTGGCTTGTGGTAACATATCTGCCTTTGAGGTTTTCATGTACATCTGCTGTGTGTTGATGCTTCTGGTCCCCTTTTCCATCATCCTGACATCGTATGGCCTCATCTTGACCACTGTCTTCAAAATTTGGTCCATAGAAGCCTGCAAGAAGGCCGTTGACACCTGCTCCTCCCACTTGGCAGTAGTGGGCCTCTTTTATGGAGCTGCTCATTTTCATCTACATGAGACCCACATCTTCCAGATCAGCTAACCATGATGAGGTTGTATCAGCTTTCTACACTATTGTCACCCCCATGCTGAATCCCCTCATCTACAGTCTTCAGAACAGCGAGGTCAAGGGCAGCCTAAGGAAGTGTGTGGCCTGTTGTGCTCCCCTATCTAGTAGGGATGCCTTAGTTTGCTTGGATATTGGTGGTTGTACAAAGAGGAAAGATATACATTAGGCATCTTCACTGGGGTTATGTTTCAGGATGCCCAGTGGATACCTGAAGCCACTGAGAATTCTTAGCTCTGTTGTTAAGTTTCTTTTCTACCTTAACTCAACACTTCTATGCTGTGGTTGGAACTGGGGGAGCCTGAGGAACCTCAGCAAAACTGGCACTAAGTTCCTTTGTCCTTCTTCTCAGCTTCCTGGACACCTTTGTTCTTACTGTGGACATTAGCAAACTCAGCAAGCTATGGCTTCTGTAGTTTGACTTAGTAAGTACCTTATAGCTTGTCTTTTTGTTTGTTTGTTTTTGTTTTTCAAGACAGGGCTCTTTTTTTTCTGTGTATACCTGGCTGTCCTGGACCTCACTATGTAGACTAGGCTGACCTTGAATCCAGAGATCCTCCTGCCTCTGCCTCTGCCTCTGGCTCTGCCTCTGCCTCTGCCTCCCAAGCACTGGGATTAAACATTGTATGATACCACCACCATGCCAACTAGTCTTTAAGTTATCTAAATTTCAGTATCACAGTAGAACTAAGGTGGCTTTTATGTGGCAGATGGATGGGAAGCATACACAGAGTGGATGTGCTGGCCAGAACTGTAAGCCATCTCAACATGCTACTCAGAAGGCAGCACTGTAAGTGGAAGAGTTGCTTGCTTCTAGAAGTTTTCATTGTTTTTCAGCTGACAGTTGTCTGCAGGAAACTATGAGTGTGAAAAGCAAAGCCACAAGTAAGTGGTGTATGTGTGCATCGGTGCCTGTGTCTGGTTTATTTTCTACTTTACTCTGAGGTTTTGGTAAAACTACATGCTGGGAGCTGACTGTGGAGCTGTTTCTCATTCCAAAATTAATTCTCAAAAAACTGAAAAATCACAAATTCTCAGTGACAAGTTCTCATGCTCACCACACATGAATTTTCATGCTAGAAGGGAATGAAGCATCCTTGAGTATTAACTGCTGATTGGTTTCAAGTTGGGGGAACTAAAGCAAAGTTCTCAAGCCTGACGGTACTCACAGCAAGCTTTAGCTTCCATACCATTCTACAGATCTCTGCCTTTGTACCTGTTACCGAGAGATGCAAAGTCCAAAACTGCACAGAGGTTCCTCAAGCCCTTTTCTAAAGAAACATCTACCCATGGATCCAAGACCAGTCTGAATTCCATTCCCATCCTATACTGTTCCATTGCAGGACACAAATGGCTCTCTCTCTCTCTCTCTCTCTCTCTCTCTCTCTCTCTCTCTGCTCGTGTGTGTGTGTGTGTGTGTGTGTGTGTGTGTGTGTGTAATATGTCTGTGAAGATTCTCTGCATTTTTACACACTCTAGTAGCTATTCTTTTAAATTGATAATAGTACTCCAGTGTTTCAAACATCACAATTGTTCCCTACTTTGTGATGGACATGTGGATGACCTTCAACCTTTTTTGAATTGCATGTTTTCACTTCACTTGGTAGACAGACAATGAACCTTTTATCAAATTGTTTAATTTCACAATCCCACAAGCAGTTCACACAGTGTGAAGTTGCCCCAGCTTTATCAATCCTTCCACTTAGGAAGCCTGGTACCTCATTCTGCTTCCTGTGTGTGTTTTCCTGGTGTTACTGATGCCAAGTGTTTCTGTATGGTTTTACTGCCAGGTTGGGTATCTTCCTTTCATTAACTTTGTACTTCAGTCTTGGAAAATAAAAATTAAAAATGCTGCTGTTTCCACAGCAAACAACTTGTAATTCACTCAGATATTCAAAGGAGTATTTGGAATTTTCAAATAAAGCTGTACATTAGAATGTTCATATTCAATGTTGGGGCTTTTTGACTTTGTGTGTACTTGGGAATTCCTTTTCAACCTCTTCCACTTTACTTGAAGCAACAAAACTTGACAGTTGGTTGAGCTGTATTATAGCACCTGTTTCTATTCCACTAAGGGATTCATTCCCTGAAGAGCTTGAAACCTTTCTTAGGAAGAATGGTGTCCTGAGATACAACATTTTAGGTGAAGGATGAAAACAGAGTTTAAAAAATAAAGCTCTAGGTGACGGAGCACACACCCCTTCATTTTCTAATAAGTTATAAGCCTACAGGAATTTCAGGTAGTAAATTTGGACCATTTTTAAAGTATCAGTTTTACAAATAAAACAATTATTAATGTACATTTGTATATTTGTATGTTGTGTTTTCCAAAGACAAAACAACTCTTAGATAATGCTTTAGAATGACATACAGACTAATCTTTTTTATCCCTTTGCTTCTGTTAATTCTGTTTTCATCTGAAGCTCTTCTCCACAGAATTAATTAATCAATTAATTAATTAATTAATTAACAGCATTAATGTTGCCCTGCACATCTCCCTGAGTATCCCAGGCAGAGTCCACAGAAGATGAACCAGAAGGCATGATGCAATTCACCTCTGCAGGTCCTGCAGTGCTTCTGGAAATGCCCCAAATAGGAACATGAATCCAGGACTCTGAGGCAGTTTAATCCATTTGTGATGTTAATTCAGTGGTTCG